TTCCAAGCTTTTCCTTAGAAAAGAATAGAAATGCCTGGAACATTCAGATTCAGCACTTATTTGACATGCATCCTATTATCTCTCTCTTTAGAATTCAGCCAGAGTGTTGACCTGTCCTTTGACAAGGCTAACCATAAAGTAATGAAGCTGAATTCTCCAGAAATAAGAGGGTTCTGGCAAACCCTGATACTCTGGCAGGACTCCCAGTACTTCAAGAGAAACCCACAAATTTGGAGACTGGTGAAGGACTCTCCAAGGGTCCCTGCTCTAATCAACTAAATTCTGCACATCTCAGCAACTAATATATTCTTGATTACCAAGCAGCAATAATCTGTAGAAACAATTAAATGTTCTAATATTTTTTCATCTCCATCAACATACTTTTAAAAAGTCTTTTTCTGCTCATTTTGTGGAAAACAAAACAAAACAAAAAGATTGACAATGGATATTGTTGTTAAACTTAATTAAGTTAGAGGAAAGAGATGGCTAGGAAATGTTAAAATTGGAAAGAAAAAAAAAAGCATTGCTTAGAATGTCTTACCTCCACACAGGGTATAAATAATATACTAAGCTGGTATTGGAGCTTAAGAGCACTACAATCTACTTTGATAAAAGTTTACTACTAATATGGGGTAACATCGTGCAAGAGTTACTCAGCACAGCTCATCTTCAAATTTCACAATGTACTTGCTGATCAACATATTTAGGGAGTTGGTTGGGATTCAAGACTAACAGCATTAAGTAGAAGACGTTGTAAACCACAGCTGACAATCTGAATACTACAAGTTGTAAAGGAAGTACACTATGAAGCCAATAGAAACTTGAAAACTTCTCTTTCTACTAATTTCATCCCATCATACTGAGCACCTTAGTCATTTAAAGAGCACAGTACAAACATACCACTGATTACACAGTATCTGTGGAGTGTTTTGAGATATCAACACAGCTCTGGAAGAGCTCATTCTAGTTATTTGCGATTCAAACAATCAGGGTGGAAGTAATATGCTTTCATAAACCAGCTAAAAATGGAGAAGCAACACTCAGGGTATGGGGGAAGGGAATGTCAACATTGCAATCAAGAAGAAAAGACCAGCCAAGCCCAGTGGCTGTAATCCTAGTACTTTGGGAGGATAGCTCAAGGCCAGGAGTTTGAGACCAGCCTGAACAGCACATTAAGACCTCATTTCTACAAAAAATAGAAAAATTATCCAGGTGTAGTGGTGTGTGCCTAAAGTCCCAGCTACTCGGGAGGCTGAGGCAGGAGGATCGTTTGAGCCCAGCAGTTTGAAATTGCAGTGAGCGATGATGACACCACTGCAGTTTAGCCTACGCAGCAGAGAAAGATTTTGTCTCAAAAAAAAAACAAAAAAAAACAAAGAAGAAGAAGAAAAGACAAACAGAAGTTCTGGAATCACCAAACATAAGTTTTATAATTGGTCATCCAAAATAATTTCTAAGTATTTTCTCAGGAATGCTATAAGTAAAATACCTTTACCCTTTCATGTACAGTTATCTACATGTGCAAGTAGGGCTTAATGTATAATAACTAGACATAATTTTACTACATATATTTTTCAAATAGTCAAATTACATTATTTATGTGATATGTGATACATATTTTAAATAATTCTCCTATTTTAAAATCAATGCCACCCAGCATGGATTTAAAAATGCTACCAAAAATTCATCTCCAATCCTAAATCCTAGCTGCTATTTATTTCTGTTTATCTCTGAACACCATTCAAATGTCAAAACAAGGTATAAATTTTAGTGAAAGATTTAACAATTTGCATTTGCTGCTCTTTTAAGACAGAAGGTAAAATGCTGTTTATCAGCTCAGCAGCTCTAATACACTCACTCATCTTTTCTCTCCAGAAAAAAACACATGGTTGCACATGAGAAAAGACAAGGTGTGGCTGAAAAGGGATCAGAATTCTGGGATTAATACTAAACATGTCTGTGGTGGTTATACAACACTGTAAATGCATCAAATGCCACTGTCTTATACACTTGAAAATAGTGATTTTTATATTATGTAAATTTCATCTCAATTTAAAAACCCAGCCAGGCGTGGTGTTCATGCCTGTAATCCTAGCACTCTGGGAGGCGAGGTGGGAGGATTGTTTGAGCTCAGGAGTTTGAGACCAGCCTGAGCAAGAGAGAGACCTCGTCTCTTCTACAAATGGAAAGAAAATTAGCCAACAGCCAAACAACTAAAACTAGAAAAAATTATCCGGGCAAGTGGCATGTGCCTATAGTCCCAGCTACCTGGGAGGCTGAGGCAGGAGGATCACTTGATCCCAGGAGTTTGAGGTTGCTGTGA